TTTGGAAAAAAACTGTCAGCTTGTAAGGCTGTGTAACAAGGAGGTCACACTTCCAAATCAATGATAATTATGTGTAACTTTGAGTAAAAATAGTGTTGCCAGGCACTGTGCAGCTTTACTGCACCTGCATTCTCTGGCACCAAGGGTGTCAGTCCCTGTAAAGTGGAGCAGAGGGAGGCACATGGTGATAAAGCAGGTCAGTGCAGAGAACAGATCACAAGGCAAAAATGTTTCCATTTGACAGATAGAAATAATAAGTATAGTAAATATATTTGGCCTGCCAGGAAGGACCTAGGCTATGAGAACGTGAGGAGGAAGGAGAAAGCATGAAGCACAGACGACTGGGGACTACTCTGGAAAAATCCTTCCTGCCTGCTGCCCATTGCACAGCTGTGGTGAGAGACAACATAATGTAAAACCAGCCTAGCTGAGGGAGCTGAAACCAAAGCAGAGATAGTGTTCCATCACCCTTGCCAAGGCTGGAAAATATTTTTCAGGGATGAGTCTCCAGAAGAGTTGTGAGCTAGGAAAAACTATCCCCTAAGCCACAGGGGCATGGTGTGAGTGTACATGTGGGGGTGAAGGTGCTGTTTGTGTGAACTCCACACTAATATCCTGCTCCTCAGTGGGGCTGATTCAGATTTTTCTTCCTGAGGCTCCAGGATACTGCATCTCAGAGGGAGATGTGGCAGCTGGTGGGCTGGGATTGTCACACATCAGGTTCCAGATACACTCCTTTATTTCACTGCATAGCAGTGCACTTTGTTTCACTGCATAGCTTCCTTTTCTCAGTACAAGAATCCTGGTGAGTGAAAATATATGTTAGGCAGAATCACACCTGTGTGATATGAATGCCATTTTCATGTGTGATTTTGTACAGGCTTTTACAGTTAAAAGACTTGGAAGAATGGCAAGAAGAACAAAGACTTTTTCAGGTGAAAACTTCTTCATAAAACGTCCCTCTAGAGCTCAAATGCTAAAAAGAGATCTTCATGTTTGTAAGTAATGAGGTTTTCATTTGGACTAGATGAAAATGTTTTCTTTTTCCAGTGCAGTTTTCAAAAGGAAGAATGTTTAAGGGCAAAGTGAAAATTAAAAGCTAGGACCTCACTGATTTCGGCAGGGTCAGGATTTCATACAGAAGGTGAAAATCCAGTCCATCTCATTGCAAATGTCTGTTCCTTGGTGGAGGACAGGAATTGGTAGCTCTTCTTCCAGCTCCAGGCTGTGTCTCCCAGCAGAGGGCATTGCAGAATGACATTACTGTTTTTCAGAAATCTGGCAGAAGGTAAACTGAACTTCAAGGGGTTGTTTGGCCAGTCTAAAATTTATTTTCATGACCTCAACTGGAAGAGTAGATCATCAGTTGTTTAAAACCAAATGATGCTGCTAGCAAACTGTAGCTGGAAGATAAAAGGAATTTTCCCTTGCACTCTAAAAAAACCTAATGCCTGAAAGGGAAAGCAAATGCCAGA